GGAACCCAAGGTGGAGAAGGGGAGAGTGTTGACAGGTCGCGGGGTTGGTAACCAAGGGAACCCAAGGTGGAGAAGGGGAGAGTGTTGACAGGTCGTGGGGTTGGTAACCAAGGGAACCCAAGGTGGAGAAGGGGAGAGTGTTGACAGGTCGTGGGGTTGGTAACCAATGTCACAAAACAATATGTATACTAATTGTTTAATGAGAAGATAGTTTGTTCTGTAAACCTTCATCTGAAGTACAATAAATAAATACTCATTAAAAAAAATAAGTTTTCAGCTGAATTGAACATATATTAAGTTGTGGTGCACATTTACAAAGTGAGGTATTCCAATCATTCTGTCATGTGATCACCAACATTCAAATAGTTTACAACAAATGTGACACAGAAACTACATCAAAGGAACTTTAAATATGATGTCAGGTGATTCTAAGGAATAGAGGTTGTTATGGATTAAACTGTGTCCCCAAAAAATATGTGTTGTAAATCCTAATCCCTATACCTGGTGTCGTAGTGGTTAAGAGTTCGACTGCTAACCAAAAGATCGGCAGTTGGAATCCACCAGGCGCTCCTTGGAAACCCTATGGGGCTGTTCTACTCTGTCCTATACGGTCGCTATGAGTCGGAATCGACTCGACAGCAGTGGGTATACTTGTGGTTATAATACCATCTGGGCATGGATTTTCTTTGTTATGTTAATGGTAATACCACTGGAAAATGTGTCTTGAGTCAATCTCTTTTGATATAAAAGGAGCAGATTAAACAGGCAGAGATGGGGGTAGATAGATGCCAAACCACGTGAAGAACACCAAGGAACCAAGAAATAAGGACCTTCCCCCAGAGCCCGCAGACAGAGAAAGCCTTTCCCTAGAGCCAACCCCCAAAAAACCCAAATCCACTGCCGTTGACGTCGATCCCTACTCATAACAACCTTACAGGACAGAGTAGAACTGCCCCATTAGGGTTTCCAAGGCGTGCCTGGTGGATTCCAACTGCCGAGCTTCTGGTTAGCAGATGAGTTCTTAACCACTGTGGCTCCCTAGAGCCAGTGCCCTGAATTTGGACTTCTAGCCTCCTAAACTGTGAGAAAATAAACTTCTGTTTGTTAAAGCCACCCACCTGTGGTATTTCTGGTATAGCAGCACTAGATAACTGAGACAGGGGTAGAACACTGGGAGAGCTCAGCCTCTCGGAAAATACAGCAGCATCAATTTTCCTTAAGAGTGGTCTTTCCTTTCATCTCATGTTCCCAACTTAGTTCAGCTGACAAGTCAACTTTACTGAAACATATCTAAACAGCTAATATATCATACATTGCTGCAGGGAGTACAAATTGGTATAATCCTTTTGAAAGCCAATCTGGCAATAAATGTCAAAATTAAGAAATGCAAAATAACGTATATATTAGGCTATTCACTGCAGCACTGTTTATAAGAGCGAAAATGAACACAACTAAAAAGGGGAACTAGCTAAATAAATCACAATGTATCTATGCAACGGGACACCATGCAACCATAGCATTTATGTACTAATATGGAAAAAGCGGCTGCAGCAATACATCAACAGGGAACCGGCAGAAATTCAAGCCGGATTCAGAAGAGGGCACGGAACCAGGGATATCATTGCTGATGTCAAATGGATCCTGGCTGAAAGCAGAGAATACCAGAAAGATGTTTACCAGTGTTTTATTGACTATGCAAAGGCATTTGACTGTGTGGATCATAACAAATTACGGATAACACTGGATGAATGGGAATTCCAGAACACTTAATTGTGCTCATGAGGAACCTGTACATAGATCAAGAGGCAGTTGTTCGAACAGAACAAGGAGATACTGCGTGGTTTAAAGTCAGGGAAGGTGAGCATCAGGGTTGTATCCTTTCACCATACTTGCTCAATCTGTATGCTGAGCAAATAATCTGAGAAGCTGGACTATATGAAGAAGAACGGGGCATCAGGACTGGAGGAAGACTCATTAACCACCTGTGTTATGCTGATGACACAACCTTGCTTGCTGAAAGTGAAGAGGACCTGAAGCACTTACTGATGAAGATCAAAGACCACAGCCTTCAGTATGGATTACACCTCAACATAAAGGACACAAAAATCCTCACAACCGGACCAGTAAGCAATATCATGATAAACGGGGAAAAGATTGAATTTGTCAAGGATTTCATTTTACTTGGATCCACAATCAACACCCATGGAAGCAGCAGTCAAGAAATCAAAAGACTCACCGTATTGGGC